ATGAACCACATTCTACGACCACTTTTGGACGAGTGCGTGGTGGTGTACCTGGATGACATACTCATCTACTCGCGCAACATGAAGCAGCACGTTGAACACCTGCGACGCGCCTTCGAAATTCTCCGACGAGAACGATTCTACGTCAAACTGTCCAAGAGCGAATTCGCCCTTGAAAAGGTCCAGTTCCTAGGACACGTGGTGAGCGCTCAAGGAGTTCACGTCGACCCCAAGAAAATCGAAGCCGTACGCACGTGGAAGACACCCGAGAACGTGAAGGAGTTGCAGCAGTTCCTAGGCTTCGCTAATTACAACAACAGGTTCGTGCCACAGTATGCGAAAATCGCTGCACCACTCACGAATCTGCTGAAGAAGAACACGCCCTACAAATAGGAGCCGAAGCACCAGGAAGCCGTAGAGCAGCTAAAGCAAGCACTTACGTCCGCACCAGTTCTCATTTTGCCAGATCCCGAACGCGACTACGTCATCGAAGCTGACGCCAGTGACCAAGCAGTGGGAGCAGTCTTGATGCAAGATCAAGGGAATGGACTGCAACCAATCGCTTACCTAAGTAAGAAACTGCACGGGGCGGAACTAAACTACCCGATACACGACAAGGAGGCCCTGGCTATCATCATCGCCTTCAAAGCGTGGAGATGCTATCTCGAAGGACGAAGAACAACTGCCTACACCGACCACTGCAGCCTGAAATACTTGAAGACACAACCCAACCTTTCCAGGCAGCAGGTCCGGTGGATCGACTTCCTCGAGACACACTTCCACTACGACATCGTGTACAAGCCCGGTCACAAGAACAAAGCAGACGCTCTCAGCCGGCCTGCACACGTTGCCGCTATTCAGATCGAAGGGATGAATCCACTACTCAAGGGACTCTTCACACACGGGTACACCACCGACCCCGAAATTCCCTTGGCAGAAAAGCGACATCTGCTACAGTGGGACAGTGACATCGCGTACCGGAAAGGATCAACGAAAATCTGGGTACCCAATTACCCTCATTTGCGCCAGTTACTACTCGAAGAATACCACGACGTCCTCTACGCCGGACACTTCGGTAGCAACAAGACGCTGACCGGTATCGCAAAGCACTACTACTGGCCCCACTTGGCAGAAGATGTCCAGAAATTCGTCACCTCGTGTGATACATGTCAGCGGATGAAGAGCAGCAAGCAGAATAAGGCAGGACTACTGCAGCCTATTCCTGTCCCAGAACAACCATGGCAAGTGGTTAGCCTGGACTTCATCACCGGGTTACCACCTACCTCCAGCGGTCATGACGCCATCCTTGTCGTCATTGACAAGTTCTCCAAAATGGGACACATCATGCCGACACACACGACAGCACGCACCGAAGAAACAGCACAACTCTTCGTTCGATACATCATCTCACAGCATGGCATTCCAACCACACTCATCTCCGACCGAGACCCTAAGTTCACCAGCAAGTTCTGGAAGGAACTTATGTCTCTCCTCGGGACCAAACTCGCCATGTCATCTGCTTACCATCCGCAGACAGACGGACAGACTGAGCGCCTCAACCAAATTGTTGAGCAACTCCTCCGAGCAGCCTGCAAGGACGAGATCTCCAAATGGGACTTGCACCTGCCCGTACTAGAGTTTGCTTACAACAATGCTACACATGCCGCTACTGGACAGACGCCGTTCTTCCTCTGCTACGGACGCCACCCACTCACACCACAAAAACTGACAGCATCAGCTACAGTCCAACCAGCACATGATTTCATCACAACCATGCATCAGCTTTGGGATCGGACCCACAAGCGCCTACTCGACATTCAACAGCAACAGAAGCGCCAAGCCGATCGCCATCGCAACGATCACACCATCACGGTGGGAGGCCAGGTGCTTCTTGACACCCGCAACCTGGACATCAGCCATCTCCCATCTAAACTTCGACTTCGCTTCTGCGGGCCTTTTCTCGTTGAAGCACAGGTCACTCCTGTTACCTTCCGCTTACGCCTGCCAGCTACCTGGAAGATTCACAACGCCTTCCACGTCCAACTTCTGAAGCCCTATCGGGACCCGAACACGATTTTCGTCGGACGCCAACCGCCGCCGCCACCGCCCGTCCTCGTCCAGAATGAACCCGAGTACGAGGTCGAGTCCGTGCTCGCACACCGCCGTCGTCGGAATGGCACCATGGAGCTTCTCATCCGTTGGAAGGGTTATGATCCTTCTGAGGACAGCTGGGTACCTGAGTCCAACATGGGTAACGCCCGTCGTCCTCTGCATGACTACCTTGTCAAGCAGGGTGTTACTTCTACCACCCAGCTTTGAGGGGGGGAAGTGTGAGAGTACGACCCCGTTACACCACTTGGCCTTTTCTTATTTCCTTCCTTTTTCATTTCTCTTTTATTCCATCTCATTTGGTTTCCTATTCTTCCTTTTCCATTAACCTTTGGTTTATCCTGCTATTATAATTATATCACCGACCAGGCTTGGGATATACTGGTGCGCTCTATCTAGCGTAATCCTGCTGTAATCCCTTAAAGCCAATAGCCTCGCGTGGCTATACGCAGGGTGATTCTATCTTCTAGAAGGGTCTATTCCCTTAGGATAAGATAAACCTGGTTACCTGATGTACTCTGGAAGTATAAAAGCGCCTTGTACTGATCGATAGTGCAACCTTTCCTCGACACATTCGATCCTGTGACATCATCCATGTCCATATCAAAGATCCTAACACCACGGCGGAGCAGACTGTGCCAGTCGAGGAGGTCTGCCGCTGGGCCGAAGTGGAGACGAATCAGGTCGTCTAGGCAACTGAAATAACGAGTGGGGGTAAGGTCGGTCTTACCACACACGAGGCCGCAGCGAGGACCGGTCTGGAGCTGGTACTGGCAGCGCCCGTGACTCAGACCACCACCCGACGACATGCTGCGCGCACGACCAGTGCGACCACCTCCACCACCGACGCCAGGCCACCCGGGCGGGAGACGAGCGACCCGCCGCCGTTGCTGCTGCTGTGGCTGCTGGTACTACTGCTGCTGCTGGTCCAGCTGCGGTGCCTGCTGCTGCTGCTGCTGCTGCTGGGGATGCTGCTCCGAGGCACCAGTTCCAGCCCCCTCGTCAGTACTACCAGCGGGCGAACCACCTCCACCACCACCTCCACCCCCTCCTCCGCTACCTCCGCCGCGCCCGGCCTTGGGGCGGCGACCCTTACCCGGACGAAACTGCGTTGCGACAGCCGCGGCGGCTGGCTCCGCAACATGGGCTGTCTAAGCGAGAGCAGCAGAACCGTCAGAGTAAGTGCACTGAGCGGAGGCACAACCATGCAAGATAGTGACCGGCACAGTACTGCTAGACTGGGTGATAGAGCGCCGACGAGTCTCTATGGCTGAAAGGGTGTCAAAGAAGTCAGTGAGGGTGAGGTCAATGGGGTGGAGACTAAGAAAGTGATCACGGGCTGTAGCAAGCCGGTCAAGGAGGCGGATGGCAAGCAGGTAGAGGGTAGAGCAGATGGGGGGCTGAAAAACACGAAGTTGGGCCTCAGTGCAGGCAGCGCGCCAGGTCGCATTTAGCGTGCGCAAGTGGGCGGCCAGGTCAGCGACAGTGGGGAAAGACGTGAGATCAGGAAAGAGCATAGGCAGGATCAGGTGACTGACGGAGGCAGAGGACGAGGTGGAATAGCGCGCGACAACAACCTGTAGGAACTCCTACGCAGTCCTGACCGACCTAAAGGGGGGGCGCTCAGACAGGGGGAGGGCATGACTAACCGCGAGCTGTGCGACAGCGTCACGCGACAACCAGACAGCACGGGCAAGGGCAGCAGCGGCAGCGGACTCACAGTCAGCAAACGTGGGGTCAGCGGGTAGAGCAGCAGGGGGGTCAGGGCAGGGGAGCGTACCGTCGATGTGGATGGCCAGGGAGTGGCCATCCTGCTGCTGACCGGTGAGGTGATGGCGGAGGTCGACGAGCCACGTGCCGAACTCAACCGGCTGACCCTCCGCATCAAAGCGCATCACCGAGTCCGCCATCATGGTTGCTGTAGCAGCAGAAATGTGGTAGGGGCGCTAACTGAGCGACAGAGTGCGGCAAGAAGATGTAGTGTGCGGTGCGGTGCAGTGCGGTAGATTGCGGTAGTTGTGCAACACGGTAGGGTGCGGTGCAGTGCGGTGTAGGGTGGTGGAGTGCGGTGGAAAGGGGCCGATGAAGCGAGGTGGGGTAGGTCGCGGTGCGGCTGGTCAACAGGGGCCGAGTGACGGCTAAGCGACAGGGCCGTGTGGCGGCGGGGAGACGGGGCCGCGGGTGGCGAGGTGACGGGGCAGGCTAGGCGGCTAGGTGACAGGGCCGGCTAGGCGACGGGGCCGGCTGGGCGATGGGGCCGGCCAGGCGACGGGGCCGGCTAGGCGACGGGGCCGGCTAGGCGACGGGGCCAGCTGGGCGACGGGGCCGACTAGGCAACGGGGCCGGCTAGGCGACGGGGCCAGCTAGGCGACTGGGCCGGCTGGGCGACGGGGCCGACTGGGCGATGGGGCTGACTAGGCAATGGGACCGGCTAGGCGACGGTGCTAGCTAGGCGAAGGGGCCGGCTGGGCGACGGGGCCGGCGTAGGCGATAGGGCCGGTTGTACTACGGGGCCGTCTAGGCAACGGGCCGGCTAGGCGACGGGGTCGGCTGGGCTACGGGGCCGGCTAGGCGACGAGGCCGGCTGGGAGACGGGCCAGCTAGGCGCTAGGTGACGGGGGGCCACTAGGGGACGGGCCAGCACGGGCGGAAGGGTGACGGGGCAGCTAGGACCTATGGCGGAAGCGCCGGTGGGCGGGGGGGACCTAACCTACTCATGATACCATATCAAAGTTAACGAATGACTACAACCATGGCATACAAGGGAATATAACCTAGTGGGTTGTACTCTCTAAGGCACAACCCTATGTAGTCTATAACAACATACAAGGATATGTTGGACAAGCCACACTGAGCTGTGTGCTTGCTCTGCACACCCCTTATCTAGCCTAGGGGGTGTGTCAACTTATACATACATTCAACACGTAACAGTCATAGGCTAGAATAGGTGTATGTTCTTAGAGAGTACAACCCAACCCTATATCTTGCGTATTCTCTCTTGTTTTCTACTTATTCTAGTATTCTAACAGACACAAGCACCTCTGCAGCACTGTCACATCTCCGATGCACACTGGGAGTTCCACCCGGGTCACCAAACTCCAATACCATATCAGAACTCAGTCACTAACCACTGAGTTAAAAGGGCTTGTCAAGTAGCGGGTAAGTGCACCCATAACCCCCCAGGCTCTGCACCTGTGACCCTTCCCGGAGGACCAAGGGCAACCCCAGTGTGTATCTTGACAGAGCTTCCAATGACAGCACCTTTCTGGCTGTGATACAGAAGCAGGCCAGGCCGCTACTGTGATGTTGGGCGTTCTCGTACTGGCAGGCCTACCGTATCATGGATCATCCCAGCGGGCGGAACAGGGCCTGCAGAGGCAGCAGGCACGTCCAGACGGTGCAGGTGGCGACTAGAGGAGAGAGTAAGTGGCAGGCCGACGGTGCAAGAGGAGGCTATGTGATGGCAGGGCGGTCATGGGTCACCCCAGTGGGCGGTACGGGGCCCGCAGAGGCGGCAGGCAGCTCCACCCAGTGCAGGTTGTCGCCCCCGGGCTCACTCTCCATGCCAAACGTTCCTCCCTGTGGCAATGCATGGGGAGGGGGGGGAAGGGAGAAGACAGGTCTCAGCAATCGGATCTCAGCGAGCACGGCCACCCCCACTCTTGCAAAGGCATGGCCACCCGCACTCTCGCAAAGGCATGGCCACCCCCACTCTCGCAAAGGCATGGCCACCCGCACTCTCGCAAAGCGCACGGCCACCCGCACACTCTCGCAAAGCGCACGGCCACCCGCACACTCTCGCAAAGCGCACGGCCACCCGCGCACTCTCGCAAAGCGCACGGCCACCCGCGCACTCTCGCAAAGCGCACGGCCACCCGCGCACTCTCGCAAAGCGCACGGCCACCCGCGCACTCTCGCAAAGCGCACGGCCACCCGCACACTCTCGCAAAGCGCACGGCCACCTGCACACTCTCGGAAAGCGCACGGCCACCCGCACACTCTCGCAAAGCGCACGGCCACCCGCACACTCTCGCAAAGTGCACGGCCACCCGCACACTCTCGCAAAACGCACGGCCACCCGCACACTCTCACAAAGCGCACGGCTGTCCCAGCATGCGCCCCCCCCTCTCCTCACTCAAACGCTCTCGTCACTCCCAATAACACTCGCATTTACTGTCACTCTCACCTGTAACTCACCTGGCAGCGTGACAACACACAGCGCCAGCCCCGCCCCCCTTGCCCTCAGCAACGGCACTCCAGCATGCACCCCCTCGCCCCCTCGCTGAGCCCCTCTCTCCCCCTCACTTGACAGCCATCTGGATTCTCCCTCTCTCCTCATGCTGCTCCTCACCTGCAGGTCCACCAGCAGCTTCACCACATATGAAGCCAGCCCCGTGCCCTCGCCCTCAGCCACGTCGCTGGAGTCCATGACGGTCCAGCATGCGCTGCCTTTCCTCGTCGATCTCTCATTCAAACCCCCCCCCGCGGCTCCTCACCTGCAGGTCCACCAGCAGCTTCACCACGTAGAGCGCGAGCCCCGCGCCCTCGCTCTCCGCCACAGCACTCGAGTCCATGACAGGGTCCAGCATGCGCTGGCGCTCCTCGTCGCTGAGCCCCTCGCCCGAGTCCTGCACCTCCACGCGCAGCAGGTGCGCCGCCGCGCCCTCCTTCACACGCACCACCACCACGCCCTCGCCCGTGCGCCGGAACGCGTTGTCCACCAGGTTCAGCAGCACCTGCAGGAGGGGTTGGGAGGGTGTGGGTGGGAGTGGGTGGGAGGGGGTGGGTGGGAGTGGGTGGGAGGGGGTGGATGGGAGTGGGTGGGAGGGGGTGGATGGGAGTGGGTGGGAGGGGGTGGGTGGGAGTGGGCGGGAGGGGGTGGGTGGGAGTGGGTGGGAGGGAGTGGGAGGGAGTGGAAGGGAGTGAGAGGGGGTGGGAGAGGTTGGGAGGGGCAAAGCAGTGAGTGAACAGGGCAGGGAGACACCAGTGGCAGCAGGAGGGGAGCGAGAGGCAGGGGCTACGGGAGGGAATGGAGGCAGCGGCGATGCGGCCTGCACGACCTGCAATGGAGGCCAGAGCTGCTGCTCCCACTGCATGCTCCGCCCTCTGCTTCACTGCTGCACACTGTACCCACCTGCTGCACCCTGTACCCACCTGCTTCACCCTGTACCCACCTGCTGCACCCTGTACCCACTTGCTGCAGGCAGCATGATAAGTCCCCTCAAGGCAGAGCCACCCACCTGCTGCAGGCGGTGCTTGTCGAGCTGGCGGGCCTCGATGGACGGATCCACGTCCACTCGCAGCGACACGCCCTCCGGCACCTTGGGCGCTATCACGCTCAGCACCTGCCATTCGCAGAGGGAGGAGTGGGAGAGGGAGGGGGTGGGGGGCGGGGAGTAAGAGGGCAGAGGGCAATCCTGGCGCAAGGCGGGGGAAGCAGGGGTGGGGGTGCACATCCGCCGGCAGTGCTTGTTGCCCGGTGCCTTAGCTTGTTGCCCGGTGCCTTAGCTTGGGCGCTGAGGAACCGCCGCACTGGAGGGCGAGAGAAAGGGAGGGCGTGGGGCCGTAGGAGGGAAGGAGGAGGGAGGTAGGAGGGGGGGCATGCTGTGGCCAGGGGAAGGGGAAGGGCAAAAGCAGCGAGGCGACTGCGCTGGCATGGAGGCGGAGCAGGGCGAGGGCAGACCCACCCACCTGCTGCAGCAAGTCAGTGCCCTTCCCCACCCAGCTCCCCGGCCAGCACCATCCGCCCCGGTGTTGGCCGCATGTGACCAGTTGACCCACACATTCCGCACCAGACAGCACTCCACCTGCTGCAACCCACCTGCTGCACTCCAAGGCACGGCACCTGCTGCATTGTGATCTAAAAAAAACAAATGTGTGTTTCTTTGAATCATGTTCATCAAATTCTTTCATACCTGCTGCACTCCATACTTGCTGCACTCCATACCTGCTGCACTCCATACAAGCCGAGCAGGGCACTCAAAGGCACCATACCTGCTGCACGAGGTCGCTGACGTCGACGAGCTCCACGGCCAGCATCATGCGGCCCAACTCGATGTTGCGCAGGTTGGCCACGTCGCCCACCACCGTGCTCATGAGCTCGCCGCACACCCGCGCCTTCCCCACCGCCTCCGCCGCCAACGCCACTGCCGCCCCCGCCCCCACCTCCTCCTCGCCGGCCCCTCCCCCCCACCCTCCCCCCTCCGCTCCCCCCATCCCTCCCCCGTCCATCCCACTGCCGCCCCCGCCAGCGTCGGGGGCAAGGAGCGCGGGGGAGAGGGCGGCGGAGGGGGTGGGGGCCTTGGGGTGCAGCAGGGCGAGGCGCGCGACGGCGGCAGCGGCGTGGTGGAGGTGCAGCGAGAGCGAGGCGAGGGGCTGCTGCAGCTCGTGGCTGATGTACCCCATCATCAGCACCGACACCCCGCGGTTCTCCGCCTCCGACCTGCAACGCCACGGACGTCAGTGGGGGCGAGAGAGAGGGGGATAAGGAGAGCGGCTTGACGCTGCAGCACCTCGTGGCTGGCTGATGCACCACCCCTCATCAGCACCGACACACTGCGGTTGTCCGCTTCGGACGTGGGTCTTGTGGCATGGGAGAGGGAAGCCGGGAACTTCCCTTAGAGTGGCGCGAGGGGCTGCTTCGTGGCCCGTGGCTTAGCCACTCCATCACCTGCAGTCGCACCCCACTGCTCCTTGCTTCAGGTTTGGATGACGGCGGCGAGAAAGGAAGCGGGTGAGGAGGACGAAGGAGGGAGAGCATTTGGGGATTGGTGAATCCATAGAATGGCCAGTCAAGAGCAATGGCCCGAAAGAGGTGCTTCGAAGCTGGGCAGTACAAGGGGTGTTTGCAAGGAATAGAGTGGGTGGGTTGCTTGCATGAGGCAAGGCAAGGGGATGTGCAGCTGCAAGCAGCCACAACCGAGTGAGTGCACCTGCACATAACTGGACACAGACACTGCAAAGAGTGTACAAGACGAAAACATAAGTGCGAACTACGAACAACGCTGGGACCCACGAAGCGCGCAGACAAGTGCATTTGGCAGACAAGGCAACTCTGTGAGGCACTCACACGAGGCTGCGCTGCAGCAGGGCGAAGCGCTCGTTGATGAGCGACTGCATGTGGCGCAGCACGGGGCGGAAGACGAAGAGCCCCTCCAGCACGAGCGTGACGATGACGAGCATGTGCAGCACCCACGAGAGGATGAGGATGGTGCTGGTGTGCGTGTCCGCGTCGTTCTGGTACATGAGCACGATGTCGTCCTGCGTCTTCCAGAAGAAGGCCTCGCTCTCCATGATCGTGTCCACGTACTTCTTCAGCTGCCTGGAGGGGGGGAGATAAAGTGCAGGGGGAAGAACACCAGGAGGAAGGGGGAGGAAAGGGGGAGGACGACAGAAGGAACGGGGAAAGAAGGTGGGAGGAAGGGGGGAGGACGGGGGGAGAATTGGGGTTAGAATGGAGGGAGGGGTGGGGGGGATAGGGAGAAAATGGGGGGAGAATGGAGAATAGAGGTAGAGTAACAGAACGCAGTTTGTGTAACGGAGGGTAGTGTAGGCCTGGACTGCAGACGAGGCATGGATCGGAGCGAAGCCAACTGACGCAGCTCGCACGGCTCTGGCGAATACACTTGGAATCGGAAATGCCAAATCTAAGACATTTGAATGGACATCCTAAGTGCTGCCAGGCGTAGCGTCTGCCTTTTATCTCCCCAAGCCAAGTCGCATCGGGTTCCTTCTTACAGGGAAACTGTTTTTTCTTCCTGCCCCCGGCCAAGTCTGCTCCTACCCGTTGCAACAAACCCTAACGTTCTCGCACCTCTCGCAGGGGCATGTGACGTTATCGGGGCTTACTCGCACGGGCGGGTTGGGCATGTGACAGTATCGGGGTTTAGCTCCACTATTCCGCGCGCGCTCCAGAAGACGGCGAGGAACGCGGGGGTGAGCTCCTCGATCTTCTTCGCGATGTCGCGATTGCCCGTGCCCGGTAGATTCAGCTCCTTGCTGCCGTACCACAGCCCGTAGTGCGATTTATTCCACAGCGCCGTGCGCTCGCTGAGCTCGTTAACATAGTACGACACGCTGCGGTTGTCCATCCGCAGCACGTAGATCTCCAGGCTGTCCTTCGATATCAGCTGACTCAGCATGCGCTGCCGGCCGGCGACGTTGACGACGGTGGCGTCGCTCTTGCTGTTCTGGATGGCGAAGTGCACGGCGAGCTGGCCGCCGAGCGAGAGCAGGATGACGACGGCGACGGTGAGGAAGTAGGTGAGCGTGAGGTTGCGCACCACGAACGGCTGCGTCAGCCCCTCGTTCTGCTGGATCACCGCCTTCACGTGCTCGCGCACGTCCTTCGTCGTGTTCGTCCGCCGCCCGAACTCCGCCGCCCCGCGCCCCGCCGCCCCCGACGCGCCCCGCGCGGGCTCCGCTCCGCCCACCCTCCCGCCCGCGCCCCCGGGCATGATACTCGCGGCGCCCCCCACGCCCCCCTTCTCGAGGTCGTCCTCGTAATTGGTGCTGTGGATGAGCGGCGACGCGAGGCCCGACGTGAGCCCGTGCTTGTCGTCGGGCATCGTCATGTCGTACGCCATCGCCATGCCGCCCCCCTCGTTATCGTTATCCATGTCCGACGACCACCCCCCGCCGCCCCCCCGCGCGTGCCCCGCCCCCCCGGGAGCTCCGCCGCCATCCCGCGCGCCGTACCGCCCGCTACTGTCGTTGTGGTGGCCGCTGTGGTGGCCGCTGTTGGGCACGCTGGCGGGGTCGCCCGGCGCGAGGCCCTCCAATGGCGCGAGTCCGTCCATCGGCGCGGGGGAGGGGGAGGCGTGCGCGCGAATGCCGTTGCTGTGGCCGCTGCTCCAGTGGCCGCTGTTGCCGCCAGGTGCGGCGTCGGAATCAGCCACCATCTGAGGGGGGGGCGGGCAGGGACGGAGGCGGCGAAAGAGGGAGGAGGGAGGGGGGGGGGCAGAGGGGGGGAAGTGGGTGTGATCAGAGGGGCGTCGGGGGGCTCAATTGGGCGAGGGCGAGGGCGGAAGACACGCGGGAGACACGCGTGGAGTGCACAGCGCTGCCGGGAATGGAGGGCAGTCGGCCTCTCAGCGCGCACGGCACGGCCTTGTCAAAGCGAGCAATGCCGTGCTGCAGGGTAACAACCGCTTCCCCTCCGCCCCGGTTCCCCTGCCGGCGCGCGTGCTCTACCGCTCCCCTCTCTCGTTCGTTGCACGACGCCAATGCTGCGTGCCTACTCCTCCCCTCAACCCAGTGCTCGGGGCTTCCTCAGTTCGCTGCTCCCCTGTCCACCATTCCGTCCCGTTGCTCTTCCGTTCCGTCACGCTCGAACCAATGCCACGGCACCGTGGCACGAAACGATTATGAACGCCTTTCCCAGACCGGTAGTCGTCGCGTCGCGTTTACCTGTTGTTAAGCCGTGTCGGATGGCGAAGCGATGTCTACCTCCCGGGTAACGGCCAATGCTGCTACAAGAACCCCAAGCCGCCACGAACCACCGAGCCGTCACGAATCACCGAGCCGTCACGAACCACCGAGCCGTCGCAGAACGCAAGGCGATGCTATTGACTCCTTCTCCTGTTCACCTGCTCGAGCACAGCTCCGCACGAGGCTCTCATTCTAAGCTGCAGTCTGGCCCGCGCTGCTTTCTCTCTATGCGTGCCTAATCGCCTATATCAAGCAATTGCTCAGGCTATCTCCTCTAAACACGAGTGTTGTTTTGACGAGTGATGTGACGATGGCGACAGAGGTGAGTGAGTGAGGCGAGTGGTAAAATACGGCGGGGTCAGATGGATTTATGGGGAAGGTGGTTCGGCGGAGAACTGGGGGAAGGGGGAGAAAGTAGCGCAGAGGGCAGGGAACCGGTACCCAGGGGTATGGGGGAACGAAGGCAGGTCTGCGGAGCATACGGCGCACCGTACCGCCGCTTCCGCGTTTTGTAGTTTTTGCCACCCAAGGATGTGCGCGGAAACACCATGCGCCACCGGAAGTGCGCGCAAAAACACCGTGCGCCAGGCCTGAGGTAGGTGGTTGTGGTGTGCTGCCGCCGACGTGGGCGGCGGGAGCGAGCGAGATGATTGGTCGACGGAGGGAGAACTTCGGAGCGCGCTGATTGGCCAACGTCTACTTCAAAGCTGGTGAGTGGTGGTTTAGTTACAACTGCGGTGGAGTCAAATCCATACCGTACATTGAACAGATCCATGCCGTAATTTTTCTCACGAAAGCGTCGCTATAATGTTTTTACGATTGTTTCCTTCTATAGTATTCTTGATTAATGAAACACCACTCACATCTTCAGCCGAATACAAAAAATGCTTCGTGAGGTGAACGGCCCTCCATCACGGGTCAGTGGCACCAGATGACTGCTTTAGGTCAATTGCAACCAGCACCACTACACAACCACATGCTGGGTTCGAAAAATGTCAAGAAACACACTGCAGAACTCAAACCAGCCTGAGCCAAGTAGGTACCTAGTTAGCTCCTCCTGACCTGGCAATTCACCCTGCAGCTGAAAACACCCTACCATAGCTATCTCCCTACCATCCAACCTTACCAGAGCACCAAGCGCTTCTCACCTAGCCCCTGCCAAACTCAACCAGGGACAATAGCCTGCCTGCAGCCTCTTTCAGCTCCTAGCTGAAACTAATACCTTGTGACAGAATGGTCAATTCCTTGATAACGCCCCCACCTGCAGATCCAGGGCACCTACAGCCGGCAACAGCTGGATCCTTTGCAAAGGCTGATAAGCTTGTCGCTGCCCTAACACCTGCTCGTCCTACCTCCTGCTTACGAGTACATAGAGTATCTGCAAAACAACAGGAAAACAATGAGGCATGGTGAGGGAAAGCTGCTGAGGAAGGGAAACAAAAATAACGTTGTACTGCATGAGAAGTATAACTTACCCGCCAGAGCTACCGTACGCGTCACTGTAGCCTGAATAATTCGCACTATTGGTTCCAGCAGCCTGGCCACCGCTTCCATACCCGCCAGAAGCGCCAGTCGCGCCGTACCCACTCTGCCTCGCACCTCCACCGCTTCCATACCCTCCCGCGGTACCAGCCCCCGCGCCGTACCCTTCCGCCCCGCCATACCCGTAACCAGAGCTACCGTAGCCTTGACCCGCGGCGCCCGAGGCACCCTGAGATCCTGCCCAGTTGCCCGCTCCCTGAGCGTAGCCCGACCCGCCCGCCGCGGAACCACCGCCATAGCCTCCAGCCGCAGCGCCCTGACCGTACCCGCCGGCCCACTGGGTCCTGCCGGCTGCACCGCCGGCTTGACCATAACCAGCCGCGCCGGGAGATCCGCCGTAGCCCGAATTTCCGCCATACCCTCCAGCCGCCCCGTACCCTCCCTCGTACGCCGCAGCGGCTCCGCCGTAACCGCCAGAGCCGTACCCTCCGCCGTACCCGCCGCCGTTCATCCCGCCGCCGTACTGACCGCCGTAGGCCCCATAACCACCACCGTACCCGCCGCCGTAGCCGCGACCGCCGCCGGCGGCATACCCGCCGGAGTACCGGGAGTCTCCACGAGCGCCGTACCCGCCGCCGCCGCCGCCGCCGCCGTAACCCCCGCCGCCTGCACCATACCCGCCAGATCCGTACCCTCCACGTGCGCCATAGCCGCCGCGACCGCCGCCGCCGCCGCCGCCCATGTTGTCCTTGGGCACGGCGCGCTTGACCTCGACCATCTTCTCCTTGAGCTCGTGGAACGTCTTCTGCAGCACGCGCTCCACCGCGTCCTCCGTGTCGTACGTGATGAAGCCGAAGCCGCGCGGCCGCTGCGTGTTGTGGTCGTACATCACCACCACGTCCGTGATCGTGCCGAACTGCTCGAAATACTGACGGAAATCGTCTTCTGTGACGTTGGACGCGAGGCCGCCGACAAAAATCTTCTTTGTCCGCTGGGAAGGCTGGACGGAGCCGCCGCCGCCGCCACCGCCTCCTGAAGCTTGTACTCCTGACATGTTGCCTTGAGATGAGTCGAGTCCTCTGGGAAGATTCTGCTCGTCTCGGGGAACAGCTTTTTTAGCTTCCACCTGAGAAGCAGAGGAATGAAGGGAAGAAACGAGTTTAGTCATCAGCCTTAGATCCACAACTTTAAGGCATGTGGTAAATAAAAAGAACAAGATTGATCAATAGGCACGGCACGCAGCGTAAACGACAGCCACGCAACAAATCTGTTAAAAGAGCCAGATTCATCAAATCCGTTGAATCTATGTCGGACCTGTCTGCCATCGATAGTGTGCTTCTCGAGAACCACGCGATCCGCCACGTCAGGGTCGGCAAAGATCACAAAACCAAACCCGCGAGCCTTGCCCGTGGTCCGGTCCTTCATGATGACCACCTCCCGGACCTCTCCGTACGTCTGGAAATAATCCCTCAGCCTATCCTCCGTGGTGTCCCATGAGATACCCCCAATGAACAGCTTACCCTGGTCCGGGTCCATGCCCAGCAAACGGAGGGACGAGGAAACCCTGGCAGCCCTCCAGAAGCAGCAGAGCAAGACTCAGGGCAAGTGGGATTGGGATTCCAGTTATGAGGGAGGAGGTGAGATTCAGAAAGAAACGACCAAAACAGAGGCCCAGTTTCAGAGCTAGCGGTGGGGGAGCGGAGGATGGTGGATCAAGAAGCTACGAGGGTTACAGGGTTTGGGGGAAGGTGTAGGCTAGGGTGGCGCAGGTTAGGCTCGGAAATCAGTCACTCAGGTATAGCGTGGCGTTATGGCGCAGTCTGCTTGGCTTTGTCTTCCGAGCCTCGGAAGCAAAATCCCATGGCGCGGGAGTCAGGCACCATCGCCAATGTCTGACTCACTGTTGCCTGGACGTAATAATGTTCGGGCCAGACCAGCTTCTGACGCTCGGTTCTGACGGGATATCTTGGGAAAGCGAAAACTGCCAAACAAGGTGATATGTTACGATATGAACACTTATTTTTTTCCCCTTCTAAACGGCCTAATCCATTCAGCAGCAACCCATCCATGTTTTGTTTATGGTACAAATATGGTTCCGCTACTGGATTGGAGTTTAAATTCTCGAGCCCATTGAATACGATACTTTGAAGAACCAAAGTAGTTAATGAGGGGGTGAGGATCTAGAGTCTCGAACCGTAGAGCATTGATGTCAGCGTAAGACTTACACATCGTATAGGAAATGCTTGTAATGGCAAAGAGTAATAATGAGTAATGCATGCGATCATATAGCCTAGAATTATCTGATAAATGTGCATGCTTTTTTTGTGTGTATCTTGTCTATTCGCATCACTCAGCGTGGTGTCTTTTCATGTGATCTAGAGTGGTGTGGTGTGGTGTGACTCTTTAGGTGACTTTGCGCTCTAACCAACTGCTGGCATCTCTACTACGCCTCCTTCCACACGAGATATCGCGCATCTTCTCCCTGGGCTAGTATTGTCAAAGGGGATGGCAGAGAGTGGGGGGATGGCAGTGAGCTGGGGGACGGCAGATAGTGGGGGGGTGGCAGAGAGTGAGTGGAGGGACAAGGGTGTAAGGGATAGGTGAGAATAAGGATCCCTGGGGTAAAGGGAGTAGGGATGGAGAGATCAAGCAATAGATTGTTGAGGGAGAGGGTTAAGACTGGAGAGGGTGAGGGAGAATTGAGAGGGGGTGAGACCTTGAGGGTAGAGAATCCAGAGACATAGGAGGGGACAGCACGGGGCAGACAAAAAGCTGTACAGTCTTGAAACCCAGAGATTAAACCACCTTTCCCCCTCCCAGCATTCCCTTTCTCCCTGACCTTTGTACCCCCTCTCCTTGCCCTCTGTACCGACTGCCTTCGCCCTTTGTAGTATATACCCCCTCTCCTTTCCAGGCTGTGGGAGAGGATGGGTGGGTAGGAAATACAGGAATGTGAAAGGGTACATGACGGGGCCTATCTCATAACATTCCGTTTTTCCAGACCCCCGTCTCCAGTTCTGTAAAGGAGACTCTCCGCATTATGAAGCACCCGAAGCTCTCTTTGGATGACGTTGCAGACTGGAAGAGTCATCGTGGCGTGGAGCGGTTCTAGTCCACCCTCAAGAGCGAGGATATCAAGTGGGTTGAGGAGCGTGTGGAGGGGAACGACCCCCGGGTCGGGTACGTCACCATGCTCCGATGACCAGTAGATAAGGTAGGGCTCTCTTACTGTGTCCACTGTCCATACTAGGGCCCTTCCCCTGTCCGTTGTAAGGCATCACCCTTGAGCTCCTATATCATATCTGTGCACCTCGGCAGGTCCTCAAGTACATGTGGAAGAAAAACACGGCTGAGCCTGGGTTTGTTGTTGAGCCAAAACAGTGTAAGGTGGGGGAGGAGCGACGGTACAGCACTTCCGAAAACACGGACTGGATGATGTCTGCATGGGTGAGTCTTGTGTGGCACTATGTGGATGCACGAGCTCGGCATTTAGAGAGCTTAGATGAGTGGCTGTCCGTTACGTGCCCAGATCCCGCTATTCCATCCAACCATATGCAGGGCAAGGTGACGTCGGGGGCCTCCTCATCGGGATCATCCTTTTTCCTGACCAGACGATCCTCACCTATAATGGGAGGCAGACAGCTCATCCAGTCATGATGGCTTTTTGTAACTGCCCCAAGAGCACGAGGTGGAAGGATGGGGGGATTGAATTTATGGGGATGATCCCTAACTTCCCTACGGACATGGATCCCGTGGAGAGGCTTCGTGCATTTTAGAGTCGTGTCAGGGCAATCGTCGAGGCCTTGATCAGGGCTTTACAGCCGGGGAGGTATGGCTCGTTTGTTCAGCTTC